TTTTCAAAGAGGTTCTTGCGGAGTACCATAGATGTTTAGGGTGCTAATAACTTCACTTTGCATAACCAACCCCCGTACCTAGATTCTCTCCCCCTTTTTTTGGGTTATTCTCTATTTTCCCATTCCTCTGGAAACAATAAAGTGTGGTGACAATTTTTATTTGATCTGTGTGAGTTAAGTCAATCCAATGGCTTAGTCTTAACATTTCTACCTCTACATGGAGATCTGATCAGAATGTCTTTTATGGAAGTAGTTTCTTACACTACAAGTGATAGAGAGTGGAAATCTGGATCTTGTAAAACAAAGAAGCTAAGAGAATTTGTTATGGAATATATAAGAAGTTCCAAGTCAAATGAGTCCTTGTTTATTTGGACAACTCAAGGTACTTGAGATCATTCTCAAGGAAATGATAGATCTGGATCTATGAAATTCAGGATTGACTTTACAGTATGTGAAATGCTCAGCTGGTGTGTCCAACCAGGAGTATGTAGTGGTTACCCTCTACTATGATAAGATGAAGTCTCTTATATGTCTTCATTCGGTGCTCAAGTATTCATCTTCAGCTGAAGCATTATTTATCCATGACAGGGGGAGTAAAGTACATGTCCATGGACTATGGCTGCAATGGTGCAACTGATGGCCTCTTATGAGGTTGTAATGTTAGACAATATGTCGTGGAATGTAGCTACTATAGGTAGTTACTTATATGCTTGACATGTAATATGTGGTTAAATTATGTGAAGATGATTGGTTTAATCATGTGGTCTCAGGTTTCTCAAGATGGACTCTGAGAGATTATGTTGGTGTTTGGGATAATTTATTTTTCTCTGCAGAACCTGAAGAAGCCCAATGAATTAGCATTGGGTGTGTCAATCTTAAAGGTGGAAAGGAGTTAATTTCAATTCCAGGAAAGGACATTGTACCTATGCTTCTGAGCTTATGGATAGGTCTTTCTAAGACTGTTTTTTAAGCTTGTGTGACAATGTCTGACAAGATGTTAGGACATAACTCAAGACATTTTTTTCCTAAAGTCCAACAAGGATCAATTTTGAATGGTACATTCTATAAGTGTCATGAGGGTGTGTATCACGTGTTCTGGCTATGCATGTGCATGTTTAAGAAACTATCATTTCCATAAAAAATCGGTCTTGATTTATTAAAACCATTTAAATCTTTTTTACCAGTGCACATTATTACCCGATGCAGTTTTTTTCTTCCTTAAATATTGTCTCTTGACCAAGACAGTTGTTACAGTCTAGGTTCTTTATTTTTTTCTCAGGTATTTATAGATCCTTTTATTTCTTTCCTTCCCTTCACTTTGTGTGTATTTGTTGATTGTATAGTTCTCATGTCTTTTGTTCGGGTATGGGTTAGTTCTGTTTGGGTATGGTTCTATGAAAGTTATGTTTTTCAATTTGTGGCAAGCATATGTAAAATGTGTAGTGTTCATACGTTGTTAAGTCTGAGGTCAGTTTTTGCAGTTGTTTTGCAAAGATGCCGAATAGGATGTCCTAATCTGAGTATGTTTATTTTTGGGTGTTTGTTATTATGTCTTGTGATCTAAGTTAAGAAAACAATTGTGTCTTGTGTTCTGAGTTACCCAAGTTTGAGGTCTAGTCCTCTGTGTCTGTATAAGGGTAGTTCAGGTGGGTATTGATTTTTTCCTTTAGTTTTCTCTTATGCTTCGAAAGAGGATGTTCGATTTACCTGTGTCAAAGCATAGTTATCAGGTTGAGGGGGAGTATTTCATATTTTCTTCCTCATGTACATCAAGACCTCAATACTTTCTCAATTTATCCTGAGGTTGTTTTTTGTGGTGTTGAGTCTGTTGTACTGTAGTAGATTAGTTCGGGAAAGTATGCAATAAAATGTTCCGAAATCAATCTGAGTATGGTTCTTACCTATTGTTAAATCCTTTGTCATATTTTGGCTAAAAAGGGGAAGAAAAGTTTATGTTATCTCTTAGTGAGCAACTTTTTTACTGGGAGAAAAATATTAGTTATTTGTTATTTGTTGAATCCCTTAAAAGAGAGAGAGAGAGAGAGAGAGAGAGAGAGAGAGAGAGAGAGAGAGAGAGAGAGAGAGAGAGAGAGAGGATATTGGTGGTGGACTACTAAGAAGTCCTAGTATGATGTTGCGACATCATGATTGAAGACTGAAGACTGTCACATATAAAGATTGAAGACCAAAGACTGTGACTGATCTGACATGCTTCTGTAATTTGTTGTTGCTGATTTGTGTTGTTTATTCCCTTATATTGTTTATGCTTCTCTATTCAAAGGTTATGTAAATTAGTTTTAGCCAAAATAAGCCAAAGGGGGAGATTGTTAATTCTCTATTATTTGGATTTCCATTATGTTTGGTAAAACTAATATAGCATCAATAGGTTATTTATGATTTGTAACTTTTATGAGAAATCAGGTCGAAGTTCCATTTGATGGAAAAAAAATGTTGAGATGAGATGTCTCATCATCTATGTAAGTTTTTGTTGGCAACAATTTTGGTAAAATACTGTGTTGGTAATGTTTTGCTTAATATCTTGACATTTGAAGTAAATCATCTCAACTTATTTTGAATGACGTCAAAGAAAATGTTTAAACATCTGCCTTCTGATCTAAACATGTTTTTCAAATTTTCTGTTTCCTATTTTTAACTGCGCCTTATTCAATTTTTGTGGTTTATAACTTGCAAAAAATATGGAAGAATATTTTTCTATCTGTCCTATCTTTATGGATTATATCTTGGCCTAATTTCATGGAGATATTCAAGGGATTCAATATATTGCAATATTTGTTTTTCAGCCCAAGCCCATAAAGAAGTTGTTGCACCTTTATAAGGACTTCCAACCTTATTTGTACAACTGCAACAATCGAAGAAAACATATTCTTTGTGTTTAAAAGTATGAATCTTTTAAGTGTAATACACTCTACTTTTGTTTCAATACTTGAGTTGTAATTTGTTAGTTGAGTTGTAAATTGTGGATCACTCATAAGCTTTTAAGTATTGAATGATTGATTTTTTTCAAACTTAATAACTCTGTTGTTTTTCACTATTAGTGATTGAAGGGATTTGAGGAGGGCCTCATACCTAGGTGTGTCTAGGGTAGAAGTATATCATGGGTAGTGATTAAGTGATTAGATTGTAAATTGGTTGTTTACTGAGGGTCTATGAATTGATACTATTTAGTAGACTTATCCCTGGCCAGGTAGCCCCCAGAGTAGGTATTGTTGTATACCGAACTGGGTTAACAATCCCTTGTGTTTTTACTGCTTTTATATTGTTGCACTTTATATTATCCTCAGATATTTGTGTCGTGACATCTCCTTCGACATAACATATATGATACCAGAATTTTAATTGGTATCAGAGCAGGCATCCTGCTCTGTATTTGGGTGAGATCTCGGGAAGATACTTTCTGGTACTATGGACATGGAAGGAGGATTTGTGATCAGACCACCCATTATGGATGGAAGCAATTATGACTATTGGAAACTGTCGTACCCAAAATTTGCCTACCTCTTTTTAATTTTCTTTGGCTTTGAACCTTGCATCCCATTTGCATCATCTTCACTAATTCATTCACATGTCATAGGCTTCATTGAATAAAGCACTTTGGTTCCAGAAGTAGCATTTGTGCAAGACTAAGGTTTCATGTTACTTTTAAGGTTCCTTCATCAGTTAAAGGCAGTTTCATCTGGTTCTTGGGCAGCGGACTATATGGAATTAAGATTTTGAGGTGTCATTATTGTGTATTTCTTATTCATCCAGTTACAAAGCTATTCTCCATCCAAGTTCATCAGTACCAAGGATTAGGGTTTATTTCCCTACCCAAGGTCAAGGAATTAGGGTTTTATGAGAGTAAAGGTTGTGCGTGAGTTTCTTCTCTCATCAGGTCACTACAAGGTTCCTTCGAGGGCACCAAGATACTAGGGTTTGTTTTTTGTTTCAGAGGAGGATCTTATGAGTTATGTTTGAATTTCAAGGTTTAAATCATTTTACAAGGATGATGTTATGTATCAGTATTGTGATTATGGCATTGTTATATTTTGTCACTTCAATTGCAAGATAGCTTGGATTTCTAAAATCAAAGTTAGGGGGTTGAAGGTTTATCAAATGGATTTGGATTTCTTAGAGGATAAGTCACCAATTTACGAGACCTTTGCAAGATTTGGTTCCAATTCAAGTTGTGAAGAATATTCATTCATTCAAAATTCATTCACATGTTTATTTTGGTTAAAATTTGTTAAGCTTGTCTAGCCCATTTGAAAAAGTCATCTTCGAGAGCAAAGATTGAAGAATTTCAATTGTTTCATTGGATTTTATTCAATATTTAACTTATTTTGCAAACACTTTGAAAAAAAAGGTTTGTATTACAAATTCCATTTTGAATTTGTTAGCTTACAAGTTTACAAGATGTTGCAATAAACTCACACATTCAAATACATCATTTCTCTAAAAAGTTTGTTGCAAGAATTCTAATTACAAGTCCTAATGCTTTTTACAATGCACAAGTTCAAAGAGGACTCCTAAGAAAATGAAGTTATCCTATAGACTATAGAATTCTTCAAAACTCTTTTCAAATCTCCCTCCAAACACCTCCAAGCGATGCCTCGATTTTTGTCTTTACATCTTCAGCCCTTCCTCATCAACTCAAACTCACGAGACAAAAGAAAACATGAATATTAGCAAGCTATCATGAAGCATAGCATTGAGCATAAACAATAATTTTCAACAAAGCTTCCTTTTCAGTTTCATCATAAGGGTTTGCATTTGGAATCAAAACTAAAAGGTTTTGTTTTTAATCATGGGCTATCTCCTACTTTTGCAAATCACAAAAAGTTTGATCTTTTTGGTTCACAAAAGGAAAAGAAATTAGTATATATTTTTCACTGCCAAAAACAAAGTTAGAATTGCGAAACATGCAAAACAGCAGCTCAAAAAATCAAAACAGTGGAACAGGGTAGCAGGATGCTTAAACAAGATAGAAATACTACAAAACATCACAACAGTCCAAAGCTGCAACCATAACAGCAAGCTACTATACAAGCAGCCCAAACCAAAACTAATGCAGCACAAAAACAACAATAAGTAAAACAAGGCACCAGCATCAAGTAAAAACAAATAATATAGCAGCTATCAAATAGCTCAACACCCTATGTCGTGATATTCTTAATGGTGCAAACCCTTCAGAATTGTATTGCAAAAAATAAAAACAGCTTTGTGTCAGAAAAAGAAAAAGAGGAAAAAGAATAAGCTTGAAAATATGTCACCAAACAATAACAGTCCCAAACCAGTAAAAAGCATCCCAACAACATTGTCCAAGATCAGTCCATGCTGCAACCTTACTACACCAATCCACAACACAACAACGTATGCTTCCCTGCATCAAACTTTCACAAAAATGGCAAAGAAAATAGAGCTGCAGCAAGAAAGTGTTAAAACAACATCCAAACATGTTCAAAACCTCAGCCAATTTCCCCCCCACTTTTCCACCCTTGTTTCATTATAAGAAGGGCATTTTGTTACATTAAAAAGGAGGAGAATAGACACAAGAGTCGACATAAGAAAACCGAAAGAATAGAGATTATGGCATATTAACAGCTAGCATAAAAAATTGAGTGAGAGAATCAAGCCAACAAGCCAAGCGATTTTTTGGCAAACACATAGAAAACTAAAAGAGACTGAACACAACCAGCAAGAGGAGTGAGATAACCAAGCATCCGAAAATTTGCAACAATCACAAACTCAACTCAAACATTTATCTCTGGCTTTCTAGGTGGAGATCACGGGACAACTCGCTACCTCTGGCTTTCTACTTCACTTATTTGTCGACCTCGAGGTAAGTCACTTCCTCTCTGCCATTTATCTTCCTCGTATAATTGTACATCTGTTTGTTTGAACTTTAGTTTTAATGCCTGCTTTCTAACATTCCTGCAAACAAAATAAAACATTTAAAAAAAAACTCCATAACAAGGTATCAACAAAACAGAAAAGGAAAAATATGGGTAAACTCATAGAAATAGACTTATAACCTGTCACCAAGAATCAAAACCCCAACCTCTGCTATTATATACTCATCACAACCCTTCAACATACTCCACACAACCTTGTAACCTCTACCCTTTCCGCCTACCTCCATCCTAAATAAATCCTTCAGACCACTCATCTCACGTTGAACATCAACCAAATTTCCCTCACTCTCGAACAAACCGTCTGCTCTATTATGCTACAATCGCATGCACAACCATACTCGTACAAACAACCTTGTTCTGTTACTAACCCGTTAACTAAACTAATAATGACATTCCGCAACAGCACCTCTAAACCATCGTCCGAACTTCATTTCAGTGATTCTTCATCATTGCCATTCTCCCTCTTTAACCTTTCTCACGCCTCTTACAATCTCTTTCTCTCTCATTCCAAATCCGTGCTTCCTGCTATCACCGGCTCTTCTCTCAAAACTACCCACAATTCATCTCCCAATTTTAACACCAACCCAACACCACCTTTTCTCAGCAAAATCGATTTTGATGAACAAGAAGATGAAGATGAACAACAACGTCACCAACAATAACAAGAAGAACAGAAAGAAGAAGAAGTTAAATTAAGGGCTTTAAGTGATATAGGAGAGGAGAAATTTAGTGAGTTGTTGAAGAGAAATTGGGTTCATCCTGATGTTTTGTTGGACGAGGGGAACGAGGATGAAGAGGAGAAGATGATGGTTCCTTGGAAGAGAGAATTTTAGTTAATTTTGTTTTGTTTTCACGGTAACATAGAGGTAGGAATTCCTTGGAAACAATAATAATGATTAAATTTATTTCTCTTCCCCATACACACTCCCAGCGGCGCATTTTTCTTGTTAGGGTTCCAAAAAAAATTTCTTGTTTCTTTCCTCCAGCCGGGTAGGCCCATTGGGCTGTTGGCCCAATCACTCAACCGTTTTCAGCTTTTGTATTAATTAAATCATGTTAATAACAGATAAAAAGCTTAGTACAACTGGAAAAGTACATCGCCCATAACCTTAAAAATCTGGCTTCAACCCCTACTAGGACCCCCTTTTTCTATTTTTTAGTTCTTTAGGTCTTATCTCTATATACTTTACTATATACTTCTAAACTAAAATATTTATTTAGTTTTTTTTTTATATAATTATTTCATGAGAAAATACAAAACATGCCTTTTTATTAGATTAATCTTTCCTTTAAACTCTTGTTATTTACCTAATCTTTTATTTAATATATTTATTTATTTTAATATTTATTTAACATGATAAAATAACAAAAATATTTAGAGTTAGATTTTGATTTCCTTTCAATATTTTCTTTACTTAAAAATTCACATATAATATTAGCATATTTTAGAATTAGGTTCTAATGTAATTTTGAATTCATTTTTTTATTTAATTTAATATAAAGCCACAAAAAACATTTAGAATTTAAGTTTCTCGCTCAAACCATGATGCCATACTCCCTTAGGTAGGTCCATGAGGTGATTACATCCCGTTTTGATCGCCTTATGTCGAAATAGACTTTTAATTCACCACTTGTACATAACAAACAATTAGGTTTCCATTCTCCCTCTTAACCTTTTTATTTTGTAATTAAAACTTAACATTCACAAATCAAAAATCCAAAAACACCTTTAATCATTACTTGAATTTATTTTAAAACTCGTAAAACACTCAAAAAAAAAACTTCTCCAAAAGGGCATGTTATCTCTGTTCTACCGCGATACCGCTGTGCATATTGCTAGAATGTGTGCGTTAACGTTGCCCACTAAAAAACACAAACAAACCAACCATTTTCTAGAGGAACTACGGTGTTCTGATTCCTTCATTGGATATGTAGGCAAAGGGTCATGAAACCCTCCCGAACACAATAATAAAAAATCATTCCTTTCCCCTTAAGCAAGTATAGTTGTAGATAAACACAACCTTAAAGACAAACAAACAAAATGGATCCCGTTGAGTACAATGGATGTGAGGGGTGCTAATACCTTCCCCTCCCATAATCGACTCCATTAACATTTCTCTTGGTTGCAAGACCATCTTATCCATCCTCTTTTGGTTTTATCGATATTTCCCCTTCCTTCGGGATAAATAAAGTTCAGTGGCGGCTCTGTGTTTTCTGTCGGTAGCTTCAGCTGGTGACTCTGATGGGGAATTTTTAGCGAGTCTTTCCTAGTTTTGTTTATTTGTCTTTTGGGTGTTTATTTATTTGCTTTATTTTGCTTTACTGTTTTATTATTGATTTATTTGTATATATTACATATATTGTTTCTACTCACATATTCTGGATACATTGTGATGTTGGGTTGGGTGATTACATTTGCTAAGTCCTATACCCGGAATTGGGTTACACTTTCGATTAGGATGGGTGGTATAGTCATGTTAACTTTGAGGGAGTAATCTCGAAGAAGGAGGCATGAAAATCCCCCACTCAGTGGAGGTTCCCTTGAAAGTAGTGATGTTTACCGAGTAATTGGGAAGACGTCATTGCTTTCGACCTGGGAACTCGAGAAGCTGAGGGTCGTAGAACCATTAACCCATCCTTACCTCTTTAGGTGCAGTGAGGAGACTATAACAGAGTAATCTGGAAGTAGTTGTCACACGATATTACACTCGGACGAGTTTTTCCTGCGAATATTACTGATTATAAAGTAATTGGAACGTCGGTAATATCCAAAGGAAGAGCGTAGACTCTGGGATCTCTTTAAAACCTTTTTTCGCAGGTGATAAACCCTTAGTACATACCTTATGGGTGGTTACTTTGACTCCATGCCCGTGACGTCGGACTTTTGATCCTGTTACTTTCAGCCTGTGCAACGGACTAAACAGTGGATATCCAGAATATGTGGAGCTGAGACTTCATGCCATAGCATACCATGACATCATATCATCATGTATATATATCTCATATCTAGGGAAGTCCAAATACAAGTCTCGTTGGTATAGATTTTCAAAAAGGAAAATTTTAAAAGGTAGACGGGTCTTTGGATTTCCTCAAAAATGAAGATAAAGCATTCATTCATACTATCATGCATTCATTTTTCACAACAAGAATTCACTGGGGTCCCTTTTCCAATAAACTTCAGTAAACAACAAAGACGACTTCTCCACATCCTTACCGTACAAGAAGCAACCAGCAAATACTTATGGATCTTTTTGAAGAAAATCATAATGCACTCCGCCGAGATATGGACACCATGGGCTCTCACATTGATCAACTTATGGAAACCCTTCATGCTGTGATCAAGGGTCAAGAAGAGTTACATCAAAGTGTTGCCAAGCTTACTACTACTGCTCCCTTCACTTCTGCTAATGGGAGGAATGACAATGAAAATATTGAGACCCCTACTGGAGCTCCTAGGAATGATGTTGATGATCATCACGATGTTATTGATCTTGATGAACCCCAAGTGAACCTTGCCGTCGGAGTTTCCGAAACTGTGAAAATGTACCATGCTCTCGAAGAGTGTCTTAAAGCCATGGAGGGTATCAAGGCTTCTGGATTCAATACTGCTACAATGTGCCTCGTTCCTGGGGTAGTTATTCCTCCCAAGTTCAAAGTTACAGATTTTGATAAATACAAAGGCACTTCCTATCCAGAGACTCATCTCTATTCCTACTGTCGCAAGATGGAAACCTACACAGAAAATGAACTGTTACTCATTCACTTCTTCCAATATAGCTTAACCGGGGCACCATTGGATTGGTATATGCAATTGGAAAGATCTCATGTCAATACTTGGAAGAACTTACTGGCACCTTTTTGAAACATTACCATTATAATACTGCCATGGCTCCTAGCCGTACTCAGCTCCAAGGGAAGATACATAAATATGAAGAGTCATTCAAAGAGTACACTCAGAGGTGGCGTGAACTGGATGCAAGGATCCAACCTCCTCTCTTGGACCATGAATTGATTGATCTGTTTATGGGTACTCTACGAGGCCCTTATCTCTAACATATACTCAGTAGTACCTCTACTTCTTTCTATGATATGGTCGTTATTGGTGAACATGTTAAGACTTGCATTAAGGATGGAACGATTCAAGGTGTCCCTAACAATACTAACAACAATTCGGGCATTGGTAGAAAGTTGTTTTCATGTTTTGTCAAGAAAGAAGGTGAGATTAGTGCTATCACCATTAACCAAGGAAAAGCTCCTGCATTTCCTCAAGTCCGATTTCCTTATTTTCCTACGCATGCTGTTGTTTCCAACCAATTGTTCCTCAAGTGTATACTGCTACAACTCCAGCACCCTGAATAGCCCAACAAAGGCCTTTCACTCCACAACTACAGTATCTTCCACAACAAAAATTTTCACCTCCTCCAACTTATCATCAATCTAATCAACAACCTCAAGGTCCGAGAGCTCCTCAAAGACAAAGAGCGCATGGAAGAAGATTTGATCTCATTCTTATATCCTATGCCTAGCTTCTCCCTCAGTTACTTGCTAATCAGTTGATTTAAAGCGTATGACTATGTCCCTTTGGATCACCTTATAGAAAACCTTCAGTATCGATCGTCAAACCTAAACGGTTCCGATCAATCCTATCGGCTTCCGACAAAGCAGCAAGTGGATGAGATACTCAGAGATATGAAGGCTATAGCAGAATGGGAACCCCATGGGATTATTTCATATAGCTGTCTTTCTTTTGTATTAGTTTTCATTCTTGCGACGACATTCTTTTACTAGGATGTTTGTCTCTTTGTACAAAAATACTTATTCAAGTTAATACAAAGATATTCCTTTAAAAGTGAAAAACTACCTGTTTTTCTTTTACTTTCCCGTTTTGTTTACAAAAAAACGTCCAGTGATTATTTTTGAACATATTCATTTGAATGTAATTACTGTTTAAAAATGAGCACAAAAAGAGAGGGAACAAAAAACAGAAAGACAATTACTAATGGCTTTAAGAAACATGACAATGTCTACGGGCCATTCCATAAAATCCTCGCAGATGCTTTCTCTAAACAGAGCAGAAGCAAGAACATCCTGCTACCGGGTCGTTGTCATATCTACATCATACAACTTAGTAGTATCTTTTTCCTTCATATCCCCGACAAAGCAAAACTTCCAGTTACCACCTCAAAGATTCCCCAACAAAAGTCGCCTAACTTCTCAAGATTTCCCAGCAGGATTCTAAAAAGCCCACAGGAAATACACAATGTTTCTCTTCCCCAATAGAGTTTATTTCTCTGATTTTGGAAACCCAACCATCAATGCTTCAACTTCAACAAAATATGCAGACTTACACTCCAAAGTCCCAACAATAGTCAGGGATTTATTTTCCCCAGTCCAACAACACTGCAGCAGAACGACTAGCATGTTCATATGTTGCATTCATACATCATAAACATCGATAGCACAAATGCATATATCACAACCTCATTTATTTTGAGAAAACATCATTATGCCATGCATTTCAGACATCATGTCATTGCATACAACTAACTCTTTACCTTTTAAGGAAAGATCAATCAACAAAAAATTATCATCGACAGATTTTCAACAAGTCAAGGCAATTCTCTATGAACAAATAAATGGTAGATCAATTCTCAAAATAGGA